CTTCCAGCCACCTTTGACTCATCAGCCCAATGGCCAGGTACCCATTTAAAGCCACATCAACTGAGGGTGGTAGCCTTTGGCATCAACTACATCTCAGGAGGTGTGGCAAAGAGGCCTTAACCACTGCTATCACACCCAGATAACAATACTAAATACACTGCTCTCATATAGGGCTTGACATGAACAGGTAACAATACATTTGCCAAATGAGGTCAGTATCATTATCCCCATCTTATAAACAAGGAAACTGAGGCACCAGAGAGCAAAGTAACTTGTCCAAAGTCACTCAGCAGGCCAGTATCTCCCAGTGTCCCAGTTCGATGCTCCATCTGTTAAGCCTCACAGCCCAGAGGATACCAGGAAACAAGTCTGGAAGAAGTCAAGGATGCAGCCTGGAACACGTTAGAGAAATCTAAATAAATGTGCCTCTGCATCCAGTCCCCTGCAGATCACACCCAATACCTAGAGACAGACAGTGGTCGGTGATCCCTCTGATTTCAGCTGCCGCAACATGCGCATAAAACAAAGAGGGTATCAATTAGGCTGGGGCCTAAACTGGCACTACTAATAGAGATGTCATGAATCACACTCACTGAATAGGCAGCCAGTGCATAGCAGCATAAGGAAGCAGCTGTGAAAGCACATCTCACTTGAGTGAAACAATTAAAACCCAAATAAGGTACCCAAGAGTGATCCAGGCAAGAAACCAATAGTTTAGAGACTCTCTGAGCACTTATCATCTATCCTTGCTGAAAAAACAATTCCATTTAAAGCGCAGCATGGCTTTAAGGAGGATGGCATCTCCTGTACTGAGAAGGGGCTCTCCTGACGCTCACCTGGACCAAGGACAGTCAGTGACACAAGACCCTTCCAAATGCCTTGGCACTTCTGTTCATCGTACTTCTCAGTACCCGAGATGATTCATCATCCCCAAAGCACAGAAACGGTCCTGCAGCAACCTCCTCTGGCTGTCCTAGGAAGAGCTGATTTTTTAACAGGATTCACAGAGCAATTGTGCCACCTAGTGTTCTCCCTAAAAGTCACACAGCAAGTTGTTGACAAAGTTCATGCCTTATCTCCAGAGCTCTAATTAATAAATCACAGCAATTCCTACTCTATCTATCTGGCTGAGAGCAGATTAGAAATCTCAGGTATTTCCAACTGCTACTGACAGCCACAGAGCAGGACGAGCGCTGCTCAGCTAGCTGCAAGCTGCTGCAGAGTGTCCTTAAAAGGAAACTGCTCATGCAAAGGGAGAAGCTAGTCAGAGCACCACTGGGAGTGGAGAGAACAGGAGGTATTGATCCCTCGAGCCAGGCGTAGAAATGTATTCTCTCACTGTGCAACGCAGCTTGCAGACAGTGCTGAGCCAGGCAGCAACCTGTCCTCCTCACACGCTCGCAATCGCAGCTGCCAGGACACGACTGCGAGGGGTCTGTTAAATGCGCAGGCGGCTGCTGGTGTAATGACAACCGGACCCCGCCACTGCCCCGACCGCAGCACTTGCAATCGCGACCATCCCGACGGCCCCTGTCGCAGGCCTCGGCGCCCCTCGGGTGGGGTGTCCCCCTACTGGCGACGCCCTCTTCCACCGCACGTTTCACCTGCAGGTCCCGACGCCCTCGCCCTGGAGCTGCTTCAGCCACGGCCGCGCCTGCTCTCGCAGGGGGAAACTGAGGCAGAGGGACGGGAAGGCCTCACCCAAGGTCACCCCCCAGGACAGCGTCTAAGCCACGAATTTAGCCGAGGCCTCCCAAGCTGCCGCTCAGCATCCTCCCGCCGCCAACACCCGCCCCGCCCCGCCCCCGGGCCTCGC